GGGCTGCGCCCTGGGCGCCCGTGGCCACCGGCCGCCCCGCTGGCGCGTTCGCGGCGTGTGTACCCCGGCTCCATTTATTGGAAGCCCCGTGCACCGCGAGCACAGCCAGGGGAGGGGAGCGGAAGCGCTAGCTAGCTCGGAGCGGCGCGGGATGGCTGGTGGGGCGTGGGGCGGGCCTGCGGGGGCAGGATGGCGGCCGGGCGCCGGCTGCTGCCCAGTGCTGGCGGCTACTTTGACTTGCTAAGCTCGTGCCCTCGGGAAGTGTTTGAGGAGCCTGTGCCAGGAGGGCGCGCAGCGACTTGGCTGATGCCCCAGGAGGGCTGGTGCCAGAAGGCTCCGTGCCCACCGAGGGCCGACCTGATGGGCACCCTCGACCCGAGGGGACCCCGGCCCTCCTGGGCTGCCCCTGGGACTGAGGCTCCGGGAAGGCCCGGGTGGGGTCGGTGCTGGGCGGGGCTGTGGCCACCGGGTGTGCGCCAGCGTCCCGCGTCCAGGCCCCATGTACAGGTGGGACAGCCTGCGCAGGCTGTGTGGCCGAGCCCGACCTGGAAGCCGGTGCCCGGCGCTCACGGCGCCCACCTCCCTCTGCGCTCACAGCTTGGCCTGTGGGGGGCCCGCTGCTCGGTCCGGTCCTCATCCAGGACGCACCCCGATTGTCCTCCTGTGTGACCGCCAGCTCTCAGCCTCCTCCTCTGGCTCCCCGCACTCCGGGTCCTGGGGTTCCGCTCAGCCAGTGGGGCTGCTGCTGCCTGAGTGGGGGCTCGCCCCCGCCCCGGCAGCATCCTCCCCCAGGCCCGGCTGTCCCGTCACCTACCCTCCCTGCCAAGTGGCCCTTTATGAAAGCCACAGGTGTCATGTGCTCCCTCGCTTCAGTTTTTTTTTTTTTTAATATTTATTTATGCACACAGAACTGGGGTTCTGGCCAGAGGTGCAGGGGGGTGAGGACACCCCAGAGACAGACTGCCAGGCCCACTGACACCCGCTGCTCAGGGGGTGGCGGGGAGACAGGAGGGTCTGCTGTGCCCTGGGGTCGCTCCCTGGCTGGGGGGCGCGAGGGGGTACGCGGTGGCTTCATGGTGCTGCATGTACCCGCTGCCCGCAGGGAGCCCCCGCTGGCCGGCTGGGCCCCTAGCTGCAGTGTCCAGCTCTGCCGGGCGGCCTTCCCAGCTCGCGGCCCCGCGGACTCAGTCGGGGCTGCTGCCTCTGGCCCGCAGCACCGTCCGGCTTCTGTGCTGCCCGGGTCCGCCTGCAGCCCTGACCCCCTGGCCTGGTGCGGGGTCTGGTGCCACCGCTGCCCCCGGCCTGCACGGCTTTGTGCAGAAGCCGGGCCGGCCGCTGTCCGGGCCTCCAGGGGCCGGGGGCCTGTTCTTCCTCAGGTGAATCTGAGCGTGATGGGGGCTGTCCTCGGCCTCGGAGCTGGGCGTGGCCTGTCTACTCCCCAGCCCACTGCCCCGACCCTCGCGCCCGGCATGGCGAATCTGGGAGGCCCCTGTCCGGTACAGCCCACTGGCAGACGTGAGGGCTTTTCACAAGTTGCCCTGCCTGGTCCGTGCCTGATGGCTCCTGGTGAAGAGTGGCCCCTGGCCCCCCATGTCCCCCTGGCCCCCTGACCCTCTGGCCCCCTGGCCTAGGCAGGGGTCTCCCCCAGCTTGACATAGAGACACATCCATTAACCTCAGCAAGTCAGAGCTTCGTTACTCCAGCTGTGCCCAGCTGCTTGCCCTGGTGGCCATGTGTCCCCCAAACTGTCACCGTGGTGTCTGCGGCATCAGTAGTCCTGTGACTTGCCCTGTTTGCGTTCTCGAACCGAGCTAACAGCCCCGAGGTGGGACCAGTGGGACGTGGGAGGCGGCGGCGGCGGCTTGGGCGCCTCTAGATGTGGGGGTCGCCCGGCCTGAGGGTGGGCGGGTTGTCCCTTTGAAATAAGCTGGGGGGCAGGCGAGGCGCGTTTCTCCCCCGGCGGACAAACTGCCGTGACCCGGTGACGTCGGAAAGGCGCCGGTCACGGGGCTGGAGCCGGAGTCTGAAGTCCAGTAGGCTGCCTGGGCCGCTCCGGAGGCCCCAGGGGAGAGCCCACAGCTGCCCACCCCCTTGGCATCTGCTGACACTGCTGAGTCCTTGGCACCTCCCTCTGTGGAAGTCCCCCCTCCCCTGGAATGTGGGGTGTTTACCCAGGATGACCGCTGACTCCCAGCTCAAGTGCTTTCTCCGCATCACACCTGCAAAGTCCCCCGCCCGCCGAGGAGGTCTCATTCAGGTCCCAGGAATTGGGGCTGAATCCTCGGAGACCACGGCTGAGCTGGGGGCAGGTGCAGACGGCCGTGCGCGTGGGGGCAGCAGAGGAAAGAAGGGACTGGGCTTGAGGGAACGGCCCCTCACAAGCCTCCCCCGAGCAGCCGCCAGGTGTGTGATCCGGCCCAGCTGGGCGCCCTGAGCGCCATCGGGGGGTCTGGGCGGGTGCAGGCCACCCTGTTGGGGGCGCGGGTGAGAAGTGTCTGTGCACAGGGCTCGGGGAGGGGTCCCGGTCCAACGCCTCCAAGGGTCGCACCGCCCCTCCCGTGGACACCTGGCCTGCGCCAGCGCTCCCACGCAGCCGGTGACCTTTGCGTCGGGCCGGTTGGGAGAGGGGAGCGCGTGGCTGGTGGCCCTCACCCACGTGCCGGGGACATGGTCGTGGCCCATGAGCAGAGCGCGGGAGAAACGATGGAAGGGTCTCCTGACCCGGCGAGAGGGCCGCTCACCCCCGGCGCCCGCCACGGCCCTGTCACACCGGGCATTGTCCGCCGGGCAGCGGGCAGGTGCAGGCTGAAGACACGCACGAGGGCAAGACGGGCCACGGACACCCTCCGGTATTTTGCGGGACGAGCCCCGCCCGCCGCCGCCTCTGCCCTTCCCTCGCCCGCAGAAGTGGGCCGAGCTGGCCGCGAGCGCTGCCCACCGCCCGGCGGCTGCCCCCATGTCCCGCTACGTGTTGCCATGTGTGGCCCTTGTGCGTCACGTGTCCGCGAGTGTGGCACCAGCTGCGATGGGTTGCGTGGCCCCGTGTGGGGGCGGGTGCGCATGCGGTCCGTGCAGTGTGCCTGTGCGCAGAGCCGCAGGAGGCCCTACCAGGGTGGGCGGCCCGGTTGAGGTGGACGGACCACGAGAGGTGG